CAAGGAATAGATTGTAATATTTAATTCATTGGCCGAATTCCAATTTCAGTGGTGGTCAAAGAAGCGTTCCACAAACTACCTATGAGAAGATAGTGACAAATAATGTGAAGAGCTGGAGCGTAAGAGGCGATTGACAATTTTGTAGTTGAAAAATTATTCTAGTTTTGTTTTGCTTGTGTTGTAAATAGTTAGATGATTTACCTATTTTTTTCCTAATTTCAGAGTCTTAGAATACATAAAACATGTTTCAATGCCAGATTGGAAAGGTTTAGGAATAATAGATTAATTGGACCAATGTTGGTGGTTGTATGTTTTTAATTCCTTATGTTATATATCTTTGTAGTATAGTGTGCAAGTATATGTCTGTGTTAATGTATTTATGTAAATAATATTTCTATCTATCTCAGACTCAGATAAGACTTACAAACAAGAACATGAAAATATACAGAGATTGCCTGACTGTCGATTCATCCGTTGCAATGTTTTCCAGAAAACCCACACCGAAATCAGGAGTTTCCAAAACTGGAAGAAAAGTATGAAGAAGAATATTTAGGTCAATGTGAGTATTTCATAACATCTATGAGTACTCAGGATAGCAATATTGCAATTCAATATGGATGCCAGTCTTTCCTTCGTGAGGAATGGATCAATTTCAAGGTTTATGATGCAGAGACTTGTGTCTCTCAACAGATACTGGACCCAGAAAGAATATGACGTCCGAAGATAGACAACTCGAGTTTACTTTTAATATTAGATGTGCTCCTGATAGTAATCACACTGCAGAACTGAGATGAAAATATATAATGTTGTCACAAATTCAGCCTAATGAGTTAGTGAACAAGTGTTATAGATATATGAAAAGTGCATGCAGAGATTGAAACAATAAGTATCTATAAGAACATTGCGAGCTATAACCACCCTTTGAATTCTCTAAGCATTTACATTATGAGATATGAAAAGCAAATAACATGCGCTTCAGGAGAAACAGAAGTCTTTGAAGATTCCCTGTATATGAGACACCCAGTGTGTTGTCGCAAGGTATGTTGGCTTCAATGGTGGGAGAACACTGCCACAAAAATGCCTTCAATTGCTAATCATGCCGTAGAGGGCGTTTGTGTACAAAGTTGGATGTATCGACAGAGATAGAGCATACTCCATCTCCCATCTTGAAGGTGGGTAAGTTATTAAAATATTTTTTTGATAATACTTTCTTTTAATATGAGGTACAGATTAATACATCATACACCTCTCTAATATTGAAACATAGGAAGCTTAATTGATCACTGTATGTCTAGGTTGATATAATTTCAGGCAATAATTCGTCTTAAATATTGTTAAACGATTATACAATGCACTAGAATTGGTTGTTAACCATTTACTTGTTCCCTTATATAATTTTGTGTGAATTTTATATAAAATATATAAAATACTACTGTTAGCTGAATGCCATTTAATAATAGTCAATTGTTTAGCAAGTTTATTATAGTTTGAATGTTTGCAGGATATAGCCTTATTTTTAATGCTTAGCAAGGACACAACATGCAGAGAACGATTGGCCAGTTTGAGAAGTTTCAGTTTCTTACTCTTGTATAAGAGTTTTAACCATATCGCTGCACATGACTACTATTAAAAAAGAATGAAACACAGCATGTGACAGTCTTATTTTATATAATGAGTAATAATTCCATAAGAACCATAATATGTTATGTATTAAAACTACACTTATTTATTTTAATACTCTTGTATCTCTAATTAATATAATTGAAGTTTATGTTAAATAAAGTTTGTTTTTTTGACTGCTATTTCTTGGTTTATGAGCGTAGTGCATTAAGAACTGAACAATCTCAGATAGCCAACAAATGCAATTCGTATTGTCGTGATATGCATGTTAGAGGTATTAAATACTGTTAAAGTCGAGGAACTTTTGCGTTAGAAGGAACTGTCAGAGATTTTTAATATTTTCACCCTCCTATCTGTACTGTTTATAACAGAATAACTATACTATAACACAAAGGTTTAGATATTTCCATAAGGTGCAAAATATGATTTCATTTTATAATTTTTCAGTAGTCCTTGTTCTTAGAATAGTAACATTTGAACAATTAATTATGTGCTTAGAATATTAGACGCTCTTTTGAAAAGATAAATCATTTGAATTAAAAAAATATTTTCATTACAAATTGTGAGATGTGATTTGCACAAATAAGTCATACATCGTTTCAATATTTTCACTAACACACATTCCCTAGTCATTAAATTTATTTTGCAGGTATGAGCATACAAGAGCAATATGAATTTTTCTTTCAAGGATATATAGATATGTCTTGAATTTCCTTCTGAAATAACAATTATTAACCAGTCCTGATTGAAACAAATTTCTTTTTCAAAAGTGCAACCCTGGAAATAAAATCCAGTATTGACTATAATAAAATGACAGTTATGTGTAATGGAACACTGAGGAATACACCAACATTACTCGTAGGGGGAACGTAGTGAAATCAGATTAGTCCTCTGGAGAACAGTAAAATACGTGAGCAAAAAGACCAGTAGTTAGGTCATATAAATAATATATAGAAGAACTATAATGGTGGCATTTCCAAGATCATTTACATGTCAATAGGATTGCTTTAGTTGAACCTTACATGCAAATCAAATACAGATAAATATATTGAATCAAAATTTAAATTTTTTTATTTTCTGTTTATCATGTTTAACAAATCTTAATACCCAATAAACAATTATTTGGATTAAACTTGCCTCCGTAATTGTTTGCATTAATAGAAGAAAACATCGTATATTATGTACCACCTTTTGTTTTATTTTCTTTTTTAATCCAAATATTTCACATAATCTACAGAATGCTATTAAATATTAATGTGATGTTGTATATTTTTAATTCTAGTTGCGCACGTCATTGAAGTAAATTCAATTGTATGTCAATAATTTTGCTGCAATTTGACATTGCTATAAATTTTTTAAAACCGTTTTTCCAGTATATTACTGCAGTATATTTTGGTACGTCATTAATATGAGAAAGGAAATATTTGAGTTGTCCTAACTGCGTATCATTTCTATAATTATGAAATTAAAATTGGATTCAACTAAATTCAATGCTATGTTGGAGTTTAAGTTGTTTATTGGTGTAATCTAATGGTGTCATTGAGAACTTTATGAATATATTTCAGCTATAGACTAACAATTAATTACTGAATCTTCTAAATCTTTTTTTCGCAGTTTGATAATTCGTGCATAACTAATATTATGTTTTACACTTAATCCTTCTCCGTACTTCATGTGAAAAAAAAAAAAAGAAAATACGCTATCTAAATACTAGAGATAAAACAGTTAAGTAAAGAAAAGGAAATGGTATCACCCTTCCGTAAAAAATACTAAATCATACATTTACAACACATCACACATATGATTGCTTAGCCTACAAAGCGTATCCGGAGCCATTCAAATAATAAATTTATTGTTATTCGAGCAAAACGTATACAGAATATCACCCCTTTGATTTTCTCCTTTTTTCAACTCCCTCTCCCGCTGTAGGCAGAACGAATCTTGCAACACTCTACAAAACAAGTAAACACGTTGACGTGATGATATTTCCAGCAAAAGCTTATGTTTTCACCATTGTTTGCAAAACACAAGATATTACGTCTGTTTTTTGAATCCGTAAGAACAACCGTCATCCCATTTATAAACATTAAGTTCTACAGTCTATACGCACAATACATTATTCAGGAAATTTTTCTATATTTTTAATAGTGTACAACGAAAAAATGGATGATACGCTATATATGCCATCTTGCGAGAGATCACAGGCTTAGTTATCTGTATGTCATAATTTTTACAAATATACAGTCGTAGTATACCCAGAGTTTAAACAAAACCTTATATTTGTAAATGCATAAAGGGCTAAAAAATCAGATTGGGATTATATCTTTAAGCATGTAAGTGATTACACTGAAAGAAACTGCGTTTCACGGCAGGAAAATAATAGAAATACTTTTCTGTGTCGAGTCAGTTAGACAAACAATTACTTTAAAAATTTAAAAGCACTATTGGGAGCTATATTATATTTTTAGCTCTTTACTCCGGTAAGATTTAGTTCTAATAATTTTGTTATATTCTACGAATATACATTAAAGATATCTTGATAATTTTGCATAAAGAATAACCGATACTAGAAAAAACTATATTTTTATATTGAATGACCTACGATCAACAGAATTGAATTGTAATACTAGTAGATGCGTACTTTTGCAAATAACATAACAAGAGTGGTGTATTTGACTCCTAGCTTACTCTTGTCAGTCACCAGTGTATTGTGGCTGCGCTCCGGCCTCATTGTGTGCACCATGTCGCAGGGGGGGGGGCGCGGGCAGAGCCAGGGTAAGGCTCGTTCCGCTGGTGGGGGCTGCAAACACGAAGGCGTCGCCGCGGTGCACTGCATCATTTTTGAAGACGCGACGCCATCTTAGCTGGGCTCCCTGCGAAGCAAGATGTCTTCCTCCGGTAAGTGTACTTAATGATCTTGTAATTTTACTTCAATTTTCGGTAGAGTGAGTTATTTCAAACGATTAGTACTAAATTACCATTTCTCTACTGATATTTATCGCCGAATGATTGCGCATTAGCGCGAATATTCGAGATTGCATTTCCCGTGCACTCAAAAACTGTGGTGATTATTATGATCTCAGTAAAAAAATATAAGCTCGCTTCTACAAAAGAGCATATTCCTTCCTGTGTTGGAACAATGATTTTTCGTACAAATACTTAGGAATGGTTTATATTTTATGTTTGCGAGAATAGAATTATTACTTAGATTTCAAATCGGGAAATTTTCGAAGAGTTTTTCTATATTTGAAATATAAAACGATCGTTAATGTATTAACATATTTCATCTCTTTGCAATTAACAGTTGTTATGGTACTATGTACTTTCGAAAACATCGTAGGCTTTCACTTTATTGCAGAATTCAAAATTTTGCTTCATTGTCGGAATCTCACGAAAACGCAAGTTGATGTTGCGTGTGCTTAGAGACGAGGTGCGAAACGACAGGATTAGACAAATGTTTTGAAGTGGCTTGCATTTAACGCGAGCTCTCTGTTAAGGATAATAGCTGTAGGACAATTTTCTATTTTTGCCGCAGACTGACGTAACTTACTGATAATTATATGGGAAATCTTAAATAATATTATTTATCAAATGAAAACAGGCCGGATTCATCCATTCGTTGCATATACTGCAGTGTATTCACGCATTTTCGTGATTCGCGTTTGTGCGTTTTAAATAGTAAAACGAATTGTAGTAAAGAAATTTGAAGAATAGAAATATAATGCGCTGAGAAATGTTATATTGTATAAGAATATTTTAATTAAAACGCATATAAATATTTTATTGCGACACTGTGCAATTGTGCTGTGTTGCACGTACCTGCAATTAATTTCATGAAACGTTTGTTTAAATTTAGGCCTAATACTGCTTGTACTAAAGGAAGCGTCTAAAACTAGCTCTGAGGTGTAAATTGCCCACAGACTTATTTCCCATTTTCCAATTGAAGAGAAAGTGAGTGTGAAAGGTATCCATAAACTAGTGCATTTTCCTACTGAGCTTAAGGAAGTATTCAGAATTATATTTTATTACGAGTTGTGCTAATTTGTATTCATTTAGTGGGCGTCATATCGTATTTTTTTCGGAATGTATCGTGTTTCCCAAAATCAGCAATCTGTCTGGCATTCATTACAATTACATTTTCATTAAATCCTTTAGTATTCCTGTCAAAGTTACTGTTTGAAATCATTTCCAAATACACTAGCATGTCTCAATTAGTCACAGTATCAACTCCCGCAAAATTAGAAAGTGCAGAAAGTCCATTTTATGACCTAAATATTGTCTGACAAGGTAAGGAATATTATGTAATTAGACTGTTGCATGCCCATTACATTCATGTTGAAGAATCTTAACATTCATCACACTCCAAATTTGACAATAAAGAGTTTGTTTATACATTTTACACTCTTTACATATATACATTGCATGTAACATTCAGCATAGGCGAGCCTGATACACTCATAATTTTGTTAACGCATATATGTGTAGATGACAGTAATTACCTTTTAAAATCTGCATTATCTTTTAGTGCTATTGCAACATTCATATTTACCCTCACCTTCGCCCTAAATCACATTGTTTTCATTCCAAGGAAAGTAGAATATTAATATTTAATTTCCAATGCGTACTTTCCCAATTATCAGTGTTTGCAAAGCTAGGTCCACAATCCAGAGAAATAGGTGCAAATATGTGAAGAGCTTGAGAGGTAAGGGATTCATGTGACAACTTTTTGTTGAAATATTTTGGCTTTTGTTTTTGCTTTGTGTGTAATATGTATATATTCACCTATTTCTCTTCCTAATTTCAGAGTCTTAGCAGACATAAACATTTTTCAATGCCAGATTAGGAAAGTTTAGGAATAATAGATAATTGGACCAATGTTGCGTAGGTATGTATGTTTTTAATTCCTACTGTTATATATCTTTGAGTTATAGTGTTAAAGTATATGTCTGTTAAGAAATTATTTATATAAATAAATTTTTATCTATTCTCAGACTAGATAAGGGACTACAACAAGAACATGAAGTATTAGAGAGTTATGCTGAGTTGGCCGATTCATCCGTGCAATGTTTTCCAGAACACACCGAATTCAGGGAGTTCAAAACTGGAGAAAGTAGGAAGGAGAAAATTTAGTTCATGTGATATTTATAAGATCTATGGTACTTCAGGATAGCAATATTACCAATTCAATATGATGGCCAGTTCTTCCTCTGAGAATGGATCAATTCAGTGTTCTTAATGGCAGAGACTGTGTCTCTCAACAGATACTGGCCCAGAAGAATATGACTTCCGAAGATGATACAGACTCGAGCTTACTTTTAATATTAGTGTGCCCTGATAGTAATCACAACTTGCAGAACTGGGATGAAAATAATAATGGTCACAAATTCGCCTAATGAGATTTAGAACAAGGTGTTTATAGATATTGAAAGTGGCATGGCGAACTGAAACATAAGTAATACAGAACATGCAGGATATACCACCCTTGAATTTCTAGCATTTACATTATAGATATTGAAGCAATAACATGCCTTCAGAGAAACGAAGTCTTTGGAAGATCCTGTATAGGAGACACCAGTGGTTTGTCGCAAGTTGTTGCTCGTGGACACACTGCACAAAAAATGCCGTCAATTGCAATCTTGCATAGAGACGTCTGCAGTACACAGCTGGATAGTAGTCATAGTAGAACCATCTTCCAGATCGGTGTCGCTGTGTTGGTAAGTAATTTTTTTTTAAATATTTTTTTCATGTGTGGTAAAATTAATAGTCACCTCTCTTAATTCGAAATGGAAGGCAATGTACTGGTTAGTTGGTGATACAATTTCTAGAGGCAATATTTCTCTTAAATCTGTGTTAAACTTAATAGGAAATGCACTAGAATTTTTGTTAACTATTACTTCTGTCCCTTAATATTTTGTGTGAATTTTATTATATAAAATGAGAACTGTTAATGAATGCATTTTAAAATTACAATGTGTTTAAACATGGTTTATTATGTTGGAATGTTTCAGAGGATATAAGTCTTTTTTTAATTACTTGGAAGCGAACATAAACATGCATAGAGATGGGCCACGTGAAGATGTTTTCAGTGACTTTTAAGAAACCCTTACCTCTTTAATGAGTTTCTACCATCATACAACCATGGCTACTATTAAAAAAAGAAAAATGAAAACAATTTACTGTGTGACTGTCTATCTTTTTTTAATAGTAAATTAAATTGGCCAAGTAGATTCATAATATATTATGTTGTTGAAAACTACTTATTATTTTTGAATACTGCTTGTATCGCTTAAATTATATTAAATTGGTTTTAATTGTAAAATTTAAAATTTGTTTTTTTATGCTATTCTTGTTTATGAGCATATTGATAAGAAAACTTGAACCAAGCCCCCAGATAGCAAAACAAAAATGCCAATTTTTTCGTGATATATGTATGCAATAATGTTATATATGAAGTGCATTGGAGGTTGACAAAATTACTTGGAAAGGGAATCCGGGGAAACTTTTGGTTTAGAAAGAACTGTCAGGGGGGAAATATTTAATTTTCACCCTCCATTTCGGATTATTAATAGGAATCATCCATTAGGAACACAAGTATATATCCTAAGGTGCCAAAATAATGATTAATTTTTATAATTTGTCACTAGTTGTCCTTGTTCTTAGAATAGTAATCGTCTCTCTCTGTATATGAGACACCAGTGTGTTTGTCGCAAGTTGTTGCTCGTGGACACACTGCACAAAAAATGCCTTCAATTGCAATCATGCGTAGAGGCGTTTGTGGTACAAAGTTGACTAGTAGTCAATAGTAGAAGGCATATCCATCTCCCAATCTTGAGGTGGTAAGTTATTAAATATTTTTTTGAAATCCTTTTTTAATGTGAGGTACAATTAATACATCATACACTCTTAATATGAAATGGAAGCAATGTCACTGGTATGTTGGTGATATAATTTCCAGGCAATATTTCTCTTAAATATGTGTTAAACATTATACAAATGCACTAGAATTTTGTTAACCATTACTTGTCCCTTATATATTTTGTGTGAATTTTATTAAATATATAAATACTACTGTTAATGAATGCATTTAAAATAGTCAATTGTTTTACAAGTTTATTATGTTTGAATGTTTCAGGATATAAGCCTATTTTTAATGCTTGGAAGGACACAACATGCAGAGACGATTGGCCATGTGAGAAGTTTCAGTTCATCTTACTCTTTAATGAGTTTCTACAATCGCTGCACATGGCTACTATTAAAGTATAAATGAAACAACAGCATGTGACAGTCTATTTTTATAATAGTAATAATATTGCCAAAGACCATAATATGTTATGTGTTAAAACTACTTATTATTTTAATACTCTTGTATCTCTAATTAATATAATTGAAGTTTTAATGTAAATAAAGTTTTTTTTTTACTGCTATTTCTTGTTTATGAGCGTATTGATTAAGAAACTTGAACAATCCAGATAGCAAACAAATGCAATTCGTATTGTCATGTATGCATTTGAGGTATAAAATACTGGTAGAATCCGGGAACTTTTGGTTTAGAAAGAACTGTCAGAGATTTTTAATTTTTCACCCTCCATTCTGTTTATAATAGAATAACTATTATAACACAAGTATATATTCCTAAGGTGCAAAATAATGATTTATTTTATAATTTTCAGTAGTTCCTTGTTCTTAGAATAGTAACATTTGAACAGTAATTATGTTTAAATATTAGACGTCTCTTTTAAAAGATAAATCATTTGTGATTTAAAAATAATATTTTCATTTAACACATTGTTGAATGATTGCACAAAGTAAGTTCATACATCGTTCAATTTTTCACTACCACACATTTCCCTAGCATTAAATTTTTTTGCAAGGTATGAGCATACAAGAGCAATTAAATTTTTCTTTCAGGATATATAGATATTGTCTTGAATTTCCTTGAAATAACAATTATTAATCATCCTGATTGCAAACAATTTCTTTTTCAAAATGCATACCCTGGAAATAAAATCCATATTCCTTAAAAAATGACAGTTATGTGTAAATGAACACTGGAATACACACATACTCGGTAGGAACGTAGTGAAACAGATTAGTCCTCTGAGAACAGTAATAGTGAAAAAGCAGTAGTTGGCATAAAATAATTATATGAAAGAATATTTTAAATGCGTGCATTTTCCAAGTTCATTTCATGTCAATAGTTTGCTTTATTGAACCTTACAGCAAATCAAACAGATAATATATTGAATCAAAATTTAAATTTTTTTATTTTCTGTTTTCATTTTAAAAATTTGAATACATAAACAATTATTTGGGATTAACTTGCCTCCGTAATGTTTGCATAATGAGAAAAACTGAATAATTTTATGTCCACCTTTTTTTATTTATTTTCTTTTTAATCCAAATATTTCACATAATCTACAGAATGCATTAAATTTTAATGTGTGTTGTTATTTTTAATTTACTAGTTGGCACGTCATTGAGTAAATTACATGTGATGTCAATTATTTTGCTGCAATTGACTTGCTATAAATTTTGAAACGTTTTCCAGTATATTACTGACAATATATTGTGTACGTCATTAATAGAGGAAGGAAATATTTAAGTTTTCATAGCTGTATCATTTCCTATAATTATGAAATTAAAAATTGGATTCAACAAATTCATGCTGGTGGTAGAGTAGTTTATTGTGTAATCTAATGGTGTCATTGAGACTTTATGAATATATTCAGCTGATAACTAACCAATTAATTACTGAATCTTCTAAATTCTTTATTTCGCATTTTGATAATCGTGCATTAATATTTATGTTTCACACTTTAACCTACTCCGTGCATTCAGGAAAAAAAAAAAAAGAAAATACAGCTAGTCTAAATACTAGAGATAAACAGTTAAGTAAAGAAAAGAAAATTGGTATACCGTAAGAAAATACAAACATATTACACATCACACATATATGTTAGCCTACAAGCAGTATCCGAGCCATTCAAATAATAATTTATGTTTCGCAAACGTATACAGAATATCACCCCTTTGTTTTCTCCTTTTTTCGAACTCCCTCTCCCCTGTAGGCAAACTGAATCTTGCACACTCTACAAACAGTAAACACGTTGACGTGAGATATTTCCAGCAAAGCTTATTGTTTTCACCATTGTTTGCAAAACAAAGGATATTACGTCTGTTTTTTGATCCGTAGAACAACCGTCATCCCATTTATAACATTAAGTTCTCAGTCTATACGCACAATACATTTATTTCAGAAATTTTTCTATTTTTTAATTAGTTAATAACGAAAAATGATGAACGCTTATATGCCATCTTGAGAGATAGCTTAGTTATCTGTATTCATAATTTTACAAATATACAGGTTAGATACCAGGTTTAAACAAAACTCTTATATTTGTAAATGATAAAGGCTAAAAAATTAGTATTGGATTATATCTTAAGCATGTAGTATTACACTGAAAGAACTGGTTTCACGCAGGAAATAATAGAAATACTTTTCTGTGGAGAGTAGAACAAACAATTACTTTAAATTTAAAAGCACTATTTGGAGCTATATTATATTTTTAGCTCTTTACTCCGGATAATGATGTAGTTCTAATAATTTTTTATATTCTACGAATATACATTAAAGATATCTTGATAATTTTGGCATAAAGAATAACCGATACTAGAAAACTTATTTTTAATTGAATGACATACGATCAACAGGAATTGAATTGTAATACTAGTAGATGCGTACTTTTGCAATAATCATAACAAGAGGGTGTTTTGACTCCTAGTACTCTTGTCAGTCACCAGTGTATTGTGGCTGTGCTCCGCCTCATTGTTGCACCATGTCGCAGGCGGGGTGGAGGCCGCGGGGGCAGGAGCCAGGTAAGGCTCGTCCCGCTAGGTGGGGCTGCAAACCACGAAGGGTCGCCGCGGTGCACTGCTCATTTTTGAAGACCGACGCCATCTTAGCTGGCTCCCTGCGAAGCAGGATTGTCTTTCCTCCGGTAAGTGTTACTTGATTTATGATTCTTGTAATTTTACTTCAATTATTCGGTAGAGGAGTTATTTCCAAACGATTGAGTACTAAATTTACCACTTTTCTACTGAATTTATCGCGAAATGATTGGCATTAGGCGCGAATATTCGAGATTGCATTTCCGTGCACTGCAAAAACTGTGTGATTCATTATGATCTCAGTAAAAAATATAATGCCGCTTCTACAAAAGCATATTCTTTCCTGTGTTGGAAAACAATGATTTTTCGTACAAATACTCTGGAATGGTTATTTATATTTTGATGTTTGCGAGAAGATAGATTATTACTTAGATTTCAAATCGTGGAAATTTTCGAAGGTTTTTCTGATATTTGATAATAAAACGATCGTTACATGTAGTTAACATATTATCTCTTTGCAATATAGCAGTTTTTGTACTATGTACTTTCGAAAACATTCGTATGCTTTCACTTTATTCAGAATTCAAATTTTGCTTCATTTGCGGAATCTCACGAAAACGCCAAGTTGATTGCGTGTGCTTAGGACGGGTGCGAAACGACAGAATTAGACAATGTTTTGAAGTGGGTGCATTAACGCAGCTCTCTGTTAAGGAAATAGCTGTAGAGTAAATTCTTTTTATCGCGACTGAACGTATTTGATTATATGAGGACAATCTTAAATAAGTATTTATTTATCAAAATGAAGAGCCGGTTCAATTCATCCATTCTGACATGTATACTGCAGTGTAATTCACGAATTTTCGTATGCTTTGTGCGGTTTTTAAATAGTAAAACGAATTGTAGTAACAGACATTTGAGAGATATAAAATATAATGCTGTGAGAAATGTTATATTGATCACAGAAATTGTTTAATTTAAAACGCATATAAAGTATTTTATTGCGCACTTGCAATTTGGCTAATGCTTGTGTTGCAGCGTACTGCCAAGTTAATTTCAATGAAACGTTTGTGTAAATTGTAGGCCTACAATGCGTTGTACTAAGAGCGAACGTCTAAAATATGCTCTGAGGTGTAATTGCGCCTCAGACTTATTTTCCCATTTTCCTAATTGAAGAGAAAGTGAGAGTGTGAAAGGTTTCCATAAAACTAGTGCATTTTCTACTGAGCCTTAAGAAAGATTCAGAATTATTATTTTATTACGAGTTGTGCTAATTTGTATTTTTAGGGGCTCTATCGTTTTTTTTCGGAATGTATCGTGTTTCCAAAATCAGCAATCATGTCTGGCTTCATTACAATTACATTTTCATTAAATCTTTAGTATTCCTGTCAAAGTTACTGTTTGAAATCATTTCCAAATACACTAGCATGTCAATAGTCCAGTATCAACTCGCAATTAAAGTGCAGAAGTCCATTTATGACCTAAATATTGTCTGACAAGGTAGGAATTTGTGATGTTGCATGTCATACATTCTGATAATCTACATTCATACACTCCATTTGACATAAAGGTTTTTTATACATTTTACACGTTTACATATATACATTGCAATGTAACATTTAGCATAGGCGCTGAACCTATAATTTGTAACGTAATATGGTGTAGATGACATAATTACCTTTGAAAATCTCATTATTTTTAGTGCTATTGCAACGATTATATTTACCCTCCTCCTAAAATAATTGTTTTCATTCCAAGGAAGTAGATTTAATATTTAATTTCAATTGCGATTCCAATTTCAGTGTGGTCAAAGAAGGTCCACAACTCCAGAGAAATAGGTGCAAATATGTGAAGAGCTTGAGAGGTAAGGGATTCATTGACAATTTTTGTTGAAATATTTTGGTTTTGTTTTGCTTTGTGTGTAAATATGTATATATTCACCTATTTCTTTCCTAATTCAGAGTCTTAGAGACATAAAACATTTTTCAATGCCAGATTGGAAAGGTTTAGGAATAATAGATTAATTGGACCAATGTTGGTGGTATGTATGTTTTTAATTCCTTACTGTTATATATCTTTGTAGTTATAGTGTTAAAGTATATGTCTGTTTAAATCTATTTATATAAATAATATTTTTATCTATTCTCAGACTAAGATAAGACTACAAACAAGAACATGAAGTACAGAGATTTGCCTGAGTTGCGATTCATCCGTGCAATGTTTTCCAGAACCACACCGAATCAGGAGTTCAAAACTGGAGAAAGTAGCGAAGAGAAAATTTAGGTTCAATGTGATATTTCATAAGATCTATGGTACTCAGGATAGCAATATTGCAATTCAATATGATGGCCAGTCTTCCTCTGAGAATGGATCAATTCAGTGTTTTGAATGCAGAGACTGTGTCTCTCAACAGATACTGGCCCAGAAAGAATATGACTCCAAGATGATACAACTCGAGTTACTTTTAATATTAGATGTGCTCCTGATAGTAATCACACTTGCAGAACTGGGATGAAAATAATAATGTTGTCACAAATTCGCCTAATGAGTTTAGAACAAGTGTTTATAGATATTGAAAACTGTGGCATGCGAATTGAAACATAAGTAATAAGAACATGCAGGATATACCACCCTTTGAATTTCTAGCATTTACATTATAGATATGAAAGCAAATAACATGCCTTCAGAGAAACGAAGTCTTTGAAGATCCTGTATAGGAGACACCAGTGTGTTTGTCGCAAGTTGTTGCTCGTGGACACACTGCACAAAAAAATGCCGTCAATTGCAATCATGCATAGAGACGTCTGCAGTACACAGCTGACTAGTAGTCAATAGTAGAACCATCTTCCAATCGTGTGTTGGTAAGTAATTTTTTTTTAAAATATTTTTTTCATGTGTGGTAAAATTAATAGTCACCTCTCTTAATTCGAAATGGAAGCAATGTTACTGGTATGTTGGTGATACAATTTCTAAGCAATATTTCTCTTAAATCTGTGTTAAACTTAATAGAAATGCACTAGAATTTTGTTAACTATTACTTGTCCCTTAATATTTTTTGTGTGAATTTTATTTAATATAAAATGAGTACTGTTAATGAATGCATTTAAAATTGACAATTGTTTTTAACATGTTTATTATGTTTGAATGTTTCAGGATATAAGTCTTTTTTTAATACTTGGAAGGACATAACATGCATAGACGATTGGCCACGTGAGATGTTTCAGTGACTTTTAAGAACCTTACTCTTTAATGAGTTTCTACAATCAATACACATGGCTACTATTAAAAAAGAAATGAAACAATACTGTGTGACTGTCTATTTTTTAATAGTAATAATATTGCCAATGATCATAATATATTATGTGTTGAAACTACTTATTATTTTAATACTCTTGTATCTCTTAAATTATATTAATTGGTTTTAATGTAAATAAAATTTGTTTTTTTATTGCTATTTCTTGTTTATGAGCATATTGAATAAGAAACTTGAACAATCCAGATAGCAAACAAATGCAATTCGTATATATGTATGCAATATGTATATATGAATGCATTGGAGGTACAAAATACTGAAAGAATCCGGGAACTTTTGGTTTAGAAAGAACTGTCAGAAATATTTAATTTTCACCCTCCATTTCGATTATAATAGAATATCCATTAGAACACAAGTATATATTCCTAAGGTGCAAAATAATGATTAATTTTATAATTTTCACTAGTTCCTTGTTCTTAGAATAGTAACATTTGAACAGTAATTATGTTTAAAAATTAGACATCTCCTTGAAGAGACAAATAATTTGTAATTTAAAAATAATATTTGATTTAACATAACATTGTTGAATGATTGCGGAGAGAAGGTTCACACATTGTTCAATTTTTCATTACCACACATTTCACTAGCATTACCTTTTTTTGAAAGGTATATACATATACATACCTTGCAAGGTATATACAAGAACAAATAAATTTGCCTCTCAGGATATATAGATATTGTCTTGAATTTCCTTGAAATGACAATTTTTAACCATCCTGCTTGCAAACAATTTCTTTATAAAAATGTATGCTCTCAAAGTCATAGAATTATCCTGGAAATAAAGTACATACTACTTAAAAAATGACAGATATGTGTAAAAATAAATGAATAGTGGAATACACACATACTCGGTAGGAACTTGGTGAAACAGATTAGTGCTCCTAGAGCAGTAGTGGTGAAAAAGAAGTAGTTGGCATTTGCTGGCATAAAATAATTATGTAAAAGAATCATCTAAACGTGTGCGTTTTTCAAGTTCATGTCAATAGTTTTCTTTATTGAACCTTTCAGCAAGTCAAACAGATAATATATTGAGTCAAGTTTTCATTTAAAAAAATTGAAGATATAAAAAATTATTTGGGATAACTTGCCTCTGTAATGTTTGCATAATGCAAAGAACTGAATAATTTTATGTCCACCTTTTTTTTATTTATATTCTTTTTAATCCAAATTTCTCATAATCTACAGAATGTATTAAGTTTTAATGTGTGTTATTTTTGATTTATTTGTTGGCACGTCATTGAGTAAATAACATTAGGGACAATGTGATGTCGATTATTTTGCAACAATAGACATGCTATAAATTTTGAAACGTTTTTTCAGTATATTACTGACAATACATTGTGCACAATATATAGAGAATGGGAGAATTTAAGTTATTATTGCTGTATCATTGCCCAAAAATATGAAATGAAGAATTGGAATCAACAAATTCATGCTGGTGACAAAAAAATTATTGTGTAATCTAATGGTGTCATTGAGACTTTATTAATATATTCAGCTAATAACTAACTAATTAATTACTGAATTTCTAAATTCTTTAGTTCCCATTTTGATCATCGTGCATTAATATTTATGTTTCACACTTTAACCTACGCTGTGCATTCAGAAAAAAGAAAAAGAAAATACATCTCGTCTAAATACTAGAGATAAATAGTTAAGTAAAGAAAAGAAAATTGGTATACTGTAAGAAAATACAAACATATTACAAATCACACATGTATGTTGGCCTATATACAGTATCCGAGCGATTAAATAATAATTTATGTTTCGCAAACATATCCAGAATATCACCCTCCTTTTTCCCTCTTTTTTTGAACTCCCTCTCCCCAGTGGAATCTTGCACACTCTACAAACAGTAAACACGTTGAATTGAGAGATTTTCAACAAAGCTTAATGCTTTCATCATTGTTTGCCAAACAAAGCATATTACGAATGATTTTTGGTCCATAAAATAACCGTCATCCTACTTATAACATTAGAAATTTATCAATCTTGCAAAACGTACAGATTCAAAAAAAGGCCACTGAGTGACTAAGTTTTCTGTGATCCGGCAGTTCTAGCGTGAACATACAGTGCGTTTGAATCCAAAACTACGAGTTTACAATTTTTAAAAAAGGAGAAAGTCAAAATATAGAAAAACGTTGATTAAAACCCTTCATTAAATTATATTTTGTACGTTTCTCCATTGTAATGTAAGATATATGTACGATATTTGTACTAATGTATGATATTTGTTTAATGCCAAGTATACGCTAAGAAAAAAGCGAACCTGTTTTATCCACTGAATATTTTCTGTTATATTCAACGTTCACTTTTCTGATAATGTCGTATTGTTTTAATCGCTATATTGGTACATTATCATACACGTTTCATTGCTTTTTTGGACAACAGAACAATTTTCATTACAAATATATAAAAACACTCCAATAAATGCACAAAAGTGTAGCAGCCACTTGTGTGATTTAAAATGGTAAAAATGGTTTTAAATTTTTTACCTACAGATGAGCAATCGGAAAATGTGAAAAAAAAGTCACAAAGTTTTGTGTTTTAAGAACACTTTTAAGATTTTTTCAAACCTGGTCCAAGGTTCTATGAAAGTAAAAATTATTTTTTGTTAAAATGATAGTAAAAATGTTTTTTTAACTGCGTTTGCATTTGAAGCTGAGAAAAAATATTTTTTTCTTATAGTATAAATTATTTTGTTATTTTTCATGTTTTGTCAACCAGATAAACTAGTAAAAAAATATGAAAAAATTATATATCATATAATATAATGATTATATATATTATATATATATATATATATATATATATATATATATATATATATATAATATATATATATATATATATGACAATTATTTATGGCAGGCTAATGATTAGCTAAATTTGTTTCCCACTGTAAAACCGAGTGGAGTTTTATTCCTTTTTAATGAACTATCACTTACATTATCATTTACAAAGAGCTATTTAACATAAGCATTTTTGCTCTTACCTGTAAACAGAAACGACAATTATAAGCTAACTGAAACCCGTCTTCTCTGTTACACGCACTTTTTTAATTACAATGTATCTTCTCTATAAATTCGCTTTAACTCATGCGGATTAAATATCTTTCAACAATCGTCCCACTCATTCCATGCTAGCGGTCCTTAGTCCTCCACCACTCTTAACCACTGCGCCAAGGGTGGGAAGGCAACGGCTTCACACAAATAAAGAAAAATATTTTCTTTTACATATATATTATATATTATTATATATTATATATATATATATATATATATAATACGTTTCTGGCTTTACAGAAGTGTGGTTGTGGGACTGGAGCTAAGAAATATTTCAAAAATATTATTTTTATGTTAGAATTAGTGTAACTGCTCATTTGCAATCTGGTTTAGGGAAACGTTTTACCATCTATCTCAGTCACACTGTCCCTCTCTGATTCTCTCCCTGGGTATCTGTCTGTTTCTGTTTGTCTTACTGTCTTTTTCTGTCTGTGTGTCGGTTCTTCTGATTCTCTCTTTCTGTCCTTGGTCTCGCTCTTCCTGCGTGTCTCTGACTCTCTCTTCATTTGTTTGTTTCTGTCTCTCTCGATCTTTTTCTGGCTCTCTGTGTCTCCGTCTATCTCTGACTCTAATCCCTCTATCTGTTTCTTTCTGTCTGTCTCTATTTATCTTTCTCTCTTGTCTCTTCATGTCTTCCTCTGCCTATCTCGGCCTCTGTCCCTCTCTGACTTTCTCTGTCTCTGAGTCTGTTCCTCTCTCTCCTTTACTTAGACGCGCCACTGTCCTGACCTCAGCCTCGCTTCTCGTCACACCGTTAAGCCCAGGTGGAGCTCAGTTTAAATGGAAACAGAATTACAATGAAGCACAATCTTGTGCTGCAGCGCCATCTAGAGAATTTACAACAAAACTAACAGCTTATGAACCTTCTGGTTGAAAAACACGTAGATGTGCCAACTTTCATGGAGAGAGATAAGGAGGGTGCAATGCAAATTACGAGTAGTTTTGTAGTTTTGATGGTAATATACAAGAAGAATTATACAGAGTAAAGTCTGTCCGCTGGGGGTTGCGCTCTGAATTTTATCCGACACGGATTTTGCCCTCAAAGTGAGCCCAACAATAAAAACGGGGGTGACTAGGCCTATAATCGTCAGAAAATACTTATTGTCTCCT